TTGAATTAATAACTAATCTAACTAAGAATGAAATCAAAACAATGAAAATAAAAATAAAATAAAATAAATAAGAGAATTTTCTAGTTCACGGTTCCGTCTACACCCTCGACTGATTCGTCTAATCAACTTTGGTATCAAATCTCGCTATTTTATGAAATTACTAGCCCTAGGTAACGACACGGTCTGTTACCCGAATTTTTTCTTATTTTTAATCTAACCGCGAGACGCTCTACGATTAAATCTGACCTCTTGAACAGTTTAGGACACGCTTCCTAAATTTAATTTCAATTAGCCGCTTTATGAATTAGAAAAATAGGCTAGACTAAGTAGTGACACATTCGTTCACTTAAATAGGTCGTGTTATCCCCGGTAGTTACCATCTTCCGGATACCACTTGCGAATTAAACACATCAACAATTACGGATTGAAGGCCTAATTCAGGTGTAGATATGAAAAGCCTAATCTAGGTGATCAATCTAAATAAGACTCAACACATCATGGTTAATTATTCAAAATAACACAAACAATTCCAAAAAGATAACTCAATAATCAACCACGTAAATCAATCAAACATAATCAAGTCGTAGGGTTCGATATCCCCGGAACTAGAGATAAAACTAAACTATCATAATAAATAAAAACAAAGAAAAGATAAAAGAGAGAGATTAATTATCTCCCTCGTGTGCGGTTGCGGCCTCCCTCCGCGATTGATCGGGTTCCTCTTGTCTTCTTTGTACGCGTTTCTGCCTCTGTCTGTTCCTATGCGTGCTGTCTGGCGGCGTGAATGTGTAAAAATTAATCTCTCCGATCCCAGCCAAAACAAATTAATATATATCCTTTCCTTCCCTCAATATCTCACGTCTCCCCTTTCTTTATTCCTGGTCAAAGTAGTCTTGTAAGTCAAAATAAATCTCCCAGCATAGTGCTAGGCCCACTTGGCAAACATAAAATACTTGAGCCCAATTGATTTCTTTAAGCCTTCTAACGTGTTTTGCATGGGCCTGATACACGCAGTACAGGGCCTGCTAGTTCAGTACAGGGCTCCCCCGTACTCGTTGGAAAACAACTTCTTCACGCATCTCCTTATCATCGTGCACTTGAAAATAGTTCCTAAAATTCTGAAAAACACTAAAAACCTCATAAAGGCACGGGAATTTGATCTTAATATCAAATAAGTCGAAAAGTGCATAAATGCGAGAAATTAAACGTGCACAATCATAATATTAGACAACTAATGCAAGCACGTTTCTCGACTAATCAATATGGGTCCTCTAAACACACCAAAACACATCAATTATTAATCTCCCAAACAAAAATAAATAAATAAACAAAAACTAGTGCGTGACCCATGCGATACACGAGGAAACAATATTACTATTGTATTGTAAATTAAATATATAAATAGCATTAATCATAATTTACATATTGTTTATAAATTAAATCGAGTTAGACAGTTCGATGAGATGGACAGAGAATCCGTTTATAACCAATCTAATTCGCTTGGATGAAATGTTTGCTATTGAACCCGTCAACACCAGTCGGTCGGACTAGTAAATTGTTATAAATAAATTTCGTTAAATTTAAAATTATTTTAGATAAAAATAAAATGAAGATTTATAAATTTTTTATCAATTAGTTTAAAGATTTGAATTTTTTTAGGTATTAAATTAACACCTTTTATTTATAGTATAAGACAAATTGTTATAGCTATTATGTTATATAAAAATAATCATTTATAATTCAATTTAAGTAATATTGCAATAATAATTATAATTAAAAAAATTCTTACACTTTTACAGAAAGATTATTTCTCAGAAAATAAATGTTAAAAAAAATATAGAATGTCTTTACTTTTTTTTAGTAACTAGAAATATTTGATGGATATTCTCAAAAAATAATATTAAAGTCCTCTTACCCTTCTAATTTTCCTCCCCGTCCTCCTCATCTTTTGTGCTTTCGAATCCATGTTATCTGTGATGCAAAGTGGAAATATTGCATTTGGTGTTTTATATTTTTAGCAACAATATTTATTGATGTATTGCATCATTTTGAGTTATAGAAGGGATATTTTATTTTATTTTTTTTTATATACCAAGATATCTATACTTATATAAACAGCCATCCTATTTACTCAAATTAGTAGCAAAAAATAGGATTGCATTTAATGCAGCTCATAAATAGTAGTTTTATTATTTTTCTTATTTTTTTCTTAAAATCTCATACAATTTAATTTATAAATAACACTTAATTTAACCATACAATTTAGTCATACAAATTAATTTATACAAATCATACAATTTATTTTTTTCTTTAAAAATACGCTTTAATATATATATATATATATATATATATATATATATATATTACTTTTTGTAATAAGTTGAATAAAATGTTTTACTTAGATATCTAAAAAATTTAAAAATTCAAATGTTTAAATTAATTGATAAACAATTTATAAATCTCTACTTATTTAAATATGTAATTTTATTTAAAATAATTTTAAATATAGCCAAATTTATTTAAGAAAGCATATCGATCCAATCAGTTCAACCGACTGGTGTTGACGGATTCAATATCAAATATTTTATTTAAGTGAAATAGACTAATTACAAACTGGTTTCGGTCAATTCGGCCGGACTGTTTTCAGTACTGTTTAATTTAAAAACGATGGGTAAATCTTGATTAATTTATTTCTATATTTAATTTATAACGCAATCGTAATATTGTTTTCTCATGCATCGCACGGGCCACGCACTAGTAATTGATAAAGTTTGTTATGGCTACTGGATTGTTAATAGATCGATAACATGCCTTAAATAAAACATATTAGATTAATAATTGATTTTTTCATCTCACTTTTCTTTTTATATTTCTAATACCTTTCTCCCAAAATTTGATTACCAGAAATCGTAGTATACAAAACATAATTTTTGAATTTGGAAAAATATCAAGAGATTGGTACGAAAATTGAAAGCCAAAAATTAGAAAAATATTTCAATTTAAAATTATGTGATATTTATTATATTGGTAAGAAAAAGATGATCTTTCACAATTGAGGGTAGAGAATCCGGAATTTATTGTGATATTAGGAAACTTATCAAAATTGCAATTGTTGGTAAGAAGGTATTTATTTTGGAGATTGTGCAATTTTCAAAATAAATAAATTTGATTTAATATTTTGTCTACTGCCCTCACCCTTTTCCTCGCCGGTTTTGGCCCACCGACGTAGGCCCAACTGTGACAAGCATTAAATAGTTTTTGGGCCTTGTTGTTCCTAGTTGGGCTGGAATTATGG